TAGGTACCAAAATCTTGACATCACTGACTTCCAGCATTTCTTAACTACAGGAAACATATTAAGCTAACTTTGCCTTAAACCTCCCAAAAATCGTAATGGTAGAAACTAAATAACCTGGCAACAGGCTCTTGGAAGAAGGATAATAGCTGGAATACAGCCCAAGTAACATATTTGGCTACACCCTGTACTGCCATTTGCATTCACTCAGAAATCAGAATGTGAAATACAGTAGCCCAGGCCAAAGCAGAATTATTACCATATGGGACTGTAATGATGAATGGGCTTATGGACCACATCAGATATTATGCTAGTATCTGTGAGAACCCAGGACTGTTGCTTGGGGTTTGTGTGTATTTAAAGGTGTTTCCAAAAGACGATTCTGCATTCACACATCACAGCAAAGAAATTAATATTCAACCTAAGACTCAGTAACATGATGCCAGAGCAAATCCATTCCACATGAGAGGAAACAGCAGAACAATGTAAAGAAAATATCAACAGATGTTATAGATCTGTGATAAATAAAAAATACATAATGTCTCCTCCATTGGCAAAGGGAACTTTTCAATGTAAAAGACCTCACTGTTCATTTCTTTTCAGACAACTGACCTCTCTAAAATCCTCGTATCACATCCAGAATAACAGACCATCTCTGAAGATATTCAAGCCAGTAGCATTTACTACTTTACTCAATACATGTTTACAGAATACTTTATTAATCATCAGCTGTCTGTAGAGACTCTTTTAGCATTTGTAGAACAGCGTTAAAGGCACGCTGTTCTGTACCAGCTATCCAGCTATTCGCTATACCAATTCCACAATTCAAGATGGGTATTTTGAATGAATATACCTCTTTCTACAATGTAGACTCCGCTGAAGTAAAATGGGGGAAAGAGGGAGACTCTTCCCTGTTTTTTGGGAGGCAAAATTGCATCTAAATTATCGTATTTGGGTAATAATAGCAACAAATTATACCTCTGATATTTTTAGTAATTGAGAATGAAGAAACATCCATCAAAGATACTCACATTATCTGTATATTCTGAATTGAAATAGGAACACATGAACGGCACACAGCTGCTGTAGAATTATAGTTTTTTTCACATTCTGATTTTTTTTTCTGTTCTTCAAGAGCTTAGATTAACTGATTTTAGGTTTTTCCACAAGCAGAAAAAGGAGACTGGGGAACTCTCTTCTGAAGGAAATAAGTATCACTCCAAGTCAAGGGAATCTTCCATATAATACAGTTTCTTTTACAGATGAGTATCTCCATCTCCTCAGGCTCAACCCTGATGGGATCTGTCTAAGATTTGACAAGATACTGTATTCAAACCTGAAACCACCAGACATCTCAAGACTATTCTATCCTGCAAATTCAGGATCTACAGGATACCATACTCGCTGGTTACATTTCATGTCATCAAGCTAGCAGACAAAAATCAAACAAACTTCTTTACACTGACTGGGAGCTGTTTGGTGAAAAGTAATTTGGTACAGACCGACACTTCTTCCGCATAGACACTCTTGTGATATATCGAAGACTTTTATTTACTTTGGACAAAACCCATCCAATTTCAGGACAACTTACTGATTATCTCCTATAAGATTCCTCTCATGAACTGACCAATATATTCGGCATAAAGTAACATTACATTCGAGAAGCTCTGACAAGCCATTTTCACTTGGGCTATTATAAGACACTCAGTTTTCACTGAGCCAGTGCTGAGGATGCCTAAGAGAATCCCTCAAAAAACAGTGCACATTTTCTTCTTAAAAACTTTAAGCAGTGGCATTTTCCTGTCTATCAAATGAGATCTTGGAAGACTGGCTGGTTGGCTAATGCTCAGTGTTCGTAGAAGGTTCATGTTTTAAAAATAAACTTCAGCTGCCAAATTTCTAGGCAGAACGATGGGGAGGCATTTCTGTTGCTGGGGGAGCCCTTGTGCAAGGACTGAAACCAGGAGGGCTGAGCAGCTCTCCAGCCGCAGGGGACTGCGCAGCTCCCTGGCTGGATGCCTCCCTCCCACAGCCCTTGTCATAGCATGCTCCCTGTGCTCTTATATCACAGCACTTATATCACAGAGACACAGTATTTGTGATTTTTTTTCCTAGTCTGTTTTCCCTGCCAGCTAAGTCCCCTGTACTCTCAGTACGTCTCCCTCCTCTAACAGGGGAAAATGGGGAAGAAGTCTTTGTCCTCTGACTTACAATTACACCACGTGGCACATATGGTATCTATAGTATCAGATACCATAATTAAATTTGGAAATATTATTGTAAATCCAA